CAACCCGCTAGAATCCTTTCTAATAAATTATATTTCAAGGGAACGCACTAAACTTTATTTAACTTATTAGCCTCAATTCATGTGAGTTGTTTTAAATAAATACACATACAAAGAAAAGAGTCTGTTTTTTTATTCATCAAAAACGACTTAAGTTTCCTAGGTCGTTTTTGATAAATAAATATTACCGTAAAACGCTCTTTGAACATTCAACTGAAATGACTCAAACTCTCTGAATCATTGTAGATGAACTGAAATTAAAAAAAAAAGTGCATTTATAATTTGGCTATAAAATCTCAAACTGTCTAGGGCTTTTAAGATTAATATTTATTTGCAACTTTAAAGTCACTAAAATGACTTAAGGACATTCTCGTATATGTAACAACATTATTTTCATAGATTACCTACTACCATGCATTTTTTTAAACGACAACATTTTTTTACTTATACTATTTTAGTTTAAAAAGTTGCAACCCTTGTTGTATTGTATCTTGTGTAATCACTTGCGTTATGCGTACGGCGGAAATAGTGTAACGGCCAATACAATATATTTTTTTATATCGTGCTGTGAGATTGTAACGATGAAAAGAATTGACCGGGTCATCTCAAGTGCTTTGAAGAAAAAAAAACTCCCGCAGTGTAATTTTATACTTTTACTTTTAAGACGTTACATTTTATTTGTGCAGGTACAGACAAGAAGGAGGATGAAACTTTGTTAACAATGGCACCAGTAAACAGGGATGACACTGAGGGAACTGGTAAGTGCCTATCTATCTACTTGTTATTATTATTTATTGACCTTAAACTGACAATAAAATTATTATAATGATATTCTTAATTTGAAATTAATCTATGCTATTTTGCGATAATAATAACATCGATTCGGTAACGGCTTTAAATCGTCTAGAATGACCAACATTGAAAGTACTTATTAGTCTATTATTACTATATTATATTTATTTATTTTTTCGAGCCTAGTCTAGACATAACATATGTCTGGGTTGTGGTGTATGTAAGCTAATGTTATTACAGATGATGTGACAACGCCAGCTGCTTTTTTGAATCCTGCAACTGCATTGACGCTATCTCATATGCCAGAACAAGTTCTATCGAAAATTGGTAAGTGGATTTTTCGTCATACTTATTTACGGTACTAATTAACATTATTCGATGCTTAAATGAATTTATGGAATATGATGAGACCGTAGTGTTATTTAGTCAATAATTGTAGGTGTGTGGTACACGCGACTACATACATACGTATAAAGCTATAAATTATCCAGTATAGGCTGGCTTCTCATCGTGTGGAAATCCTATACATTGCGAGATCAGCTTATATTGGGATTTATAGCTTGATAATATGTAGCCAAGAGTGTACTTACTAAATGTATAAAATGTTTTAGATGTTGTGGATTCGTCAAAAGCTCCGTTGTATTCACCGTTGACGCCTTTAGGCGTAGTCGCGTCAAGGCATATACACGAGTGCAAAGGTAACACTAATGAATTCTTAATTTGCACAGTAATAAAATAATTATTAATGGCCCTAGCTTATAATTAGAACAAATTAATAAATAGGTATTAGCTAAAATAAAATATTTTTTTTATTTGCAACTAACTAAAATAAAAAAAAATCGGTGGTGCAAATGATATATCAAAATCATATTATTTTCAGATGAAGTGGATTCACCAGTAGCTCCACTGTACTCGCCTTTGACCCCTCGGGTACCCGGATATAAGACAATTCAATGTAGTTATGAGCTTCTTTTTTATTCTTGTATGTATCAAAAATAAATGAATAATTAAGTTTAATTTTTCTGAGATATTTCAGGTTGTGGAGAAAATCCATCACCTTTGCCTGCTATGTCTCCAAGCACTTTAGAGCTAGTTGAAACTTTGAGTGGAATATTTCCAGGGGATTATAGTAATGATACGGACACTGATTATGTGCCTGATAGTGAAGAAGATTCAGATAGTAGCCATTCAATTAGAGTAAAGAAAAATAATGACATCAATATTATTTCGGCAAAATGTTGTATACCGGATAGTGATGATGATTTCGAAGCTGGTGTTTCAACAGGAACTGTACAAACTCATGCTGCTGTGGTGCATAATTTGGTAAATCAGGACTTCGAAATAAGAAACGAAACATCAAGTACAACTTTTCATGTTATTCGTGGTGATGAAACGTTGGATCAAATTACCAATTTTGAAGTTCAAAATAATGACGATTATCTGATCTTAGAAACACAAAGTGAACCACAGGCATGTCGTCCCAAAAAAGGACGTAAAAGAAAACACCCAGAGCATACTATGGCACAGAAAAAGAACGTTAAATATGCCAATTTACCTTATCATGGAAAAAATAAACTAATGCCGTCTAAAAACTTTATAGACTATACGTGTAAATGCACTAGGCAATGTTATTTCCGCGTTTCAGAAGAAAATAGGAAAGAAGAGTTCGAAAAATATGTTTTATTAGGCTCATATGAAGCGCAACTGCTTTATATTTTAAATAACGTCAAAGAAAGCCCTAAATCTAGATCATACACCTTGATAAATAATAAATCTGGTAAAAAGAAAGCAAGACAATACCGAAGAAATTATTTTATATGTGACATAGAAGTGTGCAAAGATATGTTCACACATAATTTTCAAATTTCTTCTAAGAAAGTCGATATTTCCTTACTGAAAAAACTATCTGGTACCGCTTTGAAAGACAATAGAGGCAAAGCTCAAGGTGGCTGGAATAAGACGCCACAAGAGGATGTCGAGTTCATTAAAAATATAATAAATTCCTTGCCTAAATATGAGTCCCACTATAGGAGAGAAAATAGCGACAGTAAATATTTAAAACCGGGCACGACTATCGAAAAAATTCATGAAATTTATATAGATGAATTAAAAACTGTTTACGGTACATTAAAAAGACCTGTTTCTATAAATACTTTCAAACGTATATTTTATAGTAATTTTAATTTGCGATGTAAGCCATTAAAAAAAGATATGTGCAACAAGTGTGATTCGCTAAGAAATAAAATAAAAAATTGTTCATCCGAAGAAAAGACAATATTAGTTGCAGAAAAAGAAGAGCATCTAAAACGAGCTGAAGAACTGAGAATTCAAATGAATCAAGATCTGCAAAGAGCTAAAATTGACGAGAAATTTGAGTGTCTGACGTATGACCTAGAAAAAACGCTTCCTCTTCCCCGGATACCCACAAATATAGTTTTTTACAAGCGCCAGCTTTGGCTTTACAATAGTGGTATTCATGCCGGTTCAAACGACGTAGGTTACTGTAACATTTGGGTTGAAGGAGAAGCAGGAAGAGGAGCACAAGAGGTAGGGTCGTGCCTCGTACGGTTCATTAAAAACGATCTCAGCCATGAAGTGGAAGATCTTGTGTTGTGGAGCGATTGCTGTGGGGGGCAGACTCGTAACATAAAAATTATTTTAATGCTGAAAGCAGTATTGGATTCTCATCCGAGACTAAAAACAATAACACTAAAATATTTAGAGTCAGGGCATACATTTCTTCCCAATGACACCGATTTTTCTAAAATAGAATACCAATTAAAATATCACCAAAGAATATACACCCCCGATCAATACATTAACGTGATTAAGAGCTGCAAGAAAAAAAATCCACTGAAGGTTTATAGGATGCAAAGAAATGATTTCTTTTCTACCAGCAAAATGGAGAAGAAAATTGTCAACAGAAAAACTTTCGTTACAAAAGCTAAAGTTAACTGGTTAAGGACAAAAAAAATACTCTTGAAAAGAGATGAAAAGTATACAATCTACATGGAAAATACTGATGGAATGTTTGAAGAGCTAAACATTGAAAAGAAATTAAGAGGAAAACGATTAGAAATATCGGAAGAGGGCTTAGTGTTGCTGTGGCCGAATGGGAAAGAAATTGCTCAAGCAAAACTGGACGACTTGAAATCTATCTTTGACTTTATTCCCAAAGATTGTTTAGATTTCTATAAAACTCTAAAGGGGAACGATAATATTACTGAAGATATCGATGGCTTCGATTGTGTTACTGATTTTGAGCTGCTTATAGAGCAGACAGAGCAGACGGAGCAGGATGACCAGGAAGACTTATTGCAAGATATAGTGTAATAAAAGTAAAGAGTTCATTTTGGATTTTTTAATAGTAAGAGTCACGGTCGATCAGTTCCTACTTGTGTTTAATTTTAAATTATAAATGGTAATTAATAAATAATTTTGCTTTGATTCATTTATTGACTTTTAAAACCTTTAATTTTAATTTTAATTAATCACTTGAGTCATTTTAGTAGAATTCAAATAAAGACTGCATCATGAAAATACAAATTTATCAAAAAGGACTCAAACCTATATTTTTTTCAATAACTCATGAATAACATGCAAAATACCATCAAACTGAAACCCATTTAAAACGCAATTGTTAAATCCCTTAACTAACCTAACACCTTAATATTCTGAGTCCAATATCACTGAAGAATACATCTCCGAACTTTAAACATCGATTACTCAAAAGTGATATTTTGTGGTTTGAGTCCTTTCTGCTAATCTACGTCCAATTATGAGCCACACAACATAATGAAAGATTGGAAATCTGGGAAAGAGTAATATGTAACTACTTGAAATAGGCTAAGCACCACACACATTTGAGCTTTCAGTCATAAATTCCTATTCTGTTTTATCATCACATGTCATATCATGAATATGACATTTCAATTTTGCAATACTGAATGTTTTTAAAGACTTAAGCAATATGTATAGATAATGTAAAAAAAATATTTATACTTTATAGTTTCACTGCAAATAATGAATTGATGAGATATAAAAAGCTTGAAAAAACGAAATAGTAAAATACACACATTTAAATCATAACTATACATGTTTGCAATGTTGAGGTTTAATATAGAATTTTTATAAAAAATATTAGGTAGGTACCTATAATACCTATAACCTAACCTATACCTATAATAAAACGAAAAAGTAAAAATACTCACGTTGTATGCCATTATTTAAAGCAGTTCAATTCAGTATTTAGGAGATCTGTAATTAACAATAGCAACAGAATAATCAGAACGTATAGCAATTTTACTACAATAACTTTAAATTGAAGACATAAGACAATTCACTTTTCACTTGTACTTACTATTGAGAAATATCTGGTTTTGTTACTAAAACGTAGTGGTTTTAAACTTTTTGGCTGAAAAAATATTAAAACACTATTAATTAATTTATAATACTTTGTGATAATATTGAAACTGTTTGGTACACAGATTAAGAAATATGTATGGTTTGGTACACAAAGTTGTAATACTGACTCTCTCTCTCTATGTACTTAAAACTTATCACAAGCTAAATAAGAGTTTGATAGTTTGACTTTACATGAATGTATGTACCAGTCAAAGAGTATAGTAACTGTCCTATACAGGAAGTACCAGTGTATTGTATTAGTCAATTAAAATTCCACTCCACTCATCCACTCCCTCCCTCCCGCTAACGCTCAGTGATAACCACCCACAGACTAACTAGTAGATTCTACACGAATCAGACGGACATCTCATCACGAACTAAACTTACTCGACTTAGCTTCTGCATCCTGATTGGTTGTAGCAAAATGATATATGACATTTCTTTTTTTTTATTTGAAGCAGCTATATCAGGCAAAGGACGTCCCAAATAAGCTTATTTATTAATTACTTGCAAAATTTATTTTGAAATATTGAAAATCTTGTACATACAACTTTATAATTTGTGACACCACCACTATGATTACGGACAAAAAAGCAATATGGCTGCCACAGACTAATCATAGATAAATAAATATGTAGAGACTAATTAGTAGATTCTACCCGAAATGGCTGCGAGCTGCGATCGATCTCCTAGTTAGTCTGTACTTAGAAGATTCGTGTAGAATCTACTAGTTAATCTGTGCTTAGAGGGATGTTGAGGGGCGAGGGGGGGTGTTAACTGTCATATATCATTTTGCTATGTCCAATATTTTCTCTATGAAGATTACTGCCCGTGGTGATAGAGTGCGCGCAAGATAACTCTGCGCGCGGCCAAAATTGGAACTAATAATGTGCCGCCATCTTACTGTTTATAGCAGGTGTCAAAACAGATTATTAGGAGTCGTGTTTTTATTCGTTTTTGCAGGAAATAATCGTCATCATTATGCCGAAAGTAATTAAAATTGCTGGCAGGAATATTACCTTGAAGGTCAAACGTGCTTGTGAAGAAGAACGAGAAAATAACGGGCCTACAGTACCGTTTTCCAAATTTACATATTTCACAGGTAATTTTTAGGGCTGCCATAACAAATAAAACTCCCTAATTTTCTCGATTTGTTCGTTTTAAGTTTCCTCGTGTCATTAATATCATGTATTTATAATGTATTGTTTTTATTATGTTTTAGGCGTTTCTGAACTCACCATCACCCAAATAACTGAAGAGGGTACATAATGTAGCAGTAGCTTCATCTTCTAAAATTGTGTCGCCGGGGAAAAACTAGGAACTGGAGGAAAAAATTATGATTTAGACGATTTTCATACGTGACGCTATGAGGCATTTAAATGAACGACGTTGACGTTGTGAAGAAAGAGATTCCTGCCATAAATAAACTTTGGTTGGAATTGAAAGGTGATATTGATTTTAAATATGGCAGAAAAACACTGAGTAGTAGCTTAAAGACTATGGGCTACGAATACAAAAGGTACCAGTTTAAATGGATAAATTTATAATTAATGTCACAGGCCGACACATCCGAGTCTTCTGATGAAGACCAGCGTGGATTCTGATGAAGATGTGAGAATGGATAGTAAATAAAAGACTTTGCTGAGAATACTAAAAATAAAAGTGAACTTTTTTTGTTTTTTTTTTCTCAAACTCGCTCGCATAAATTAAACGTTTTCAAATGTTTTTAAGGAATTATTTATATTAACTTAAATCTTACCATAGAAACTTGTGATACCTGTGTCTAACTTACGGAAGTTACAATCAAGAAATATATTTACTATGCGAATTTTAAACAATAAATATAGGGTTTAATATTTATTAGGTCTTTGTAAGTTTAAGCTGAACATTACATTTTTTTAACTGAGCTTTGGTAATCAATTCGGTCATTTATGTAATTTGATTTAATTATATAATTCTAGTAATAAGATTAAATGAAGGAAAAAAATATTAGTTAAGCTGGTAACATTAAGTACGCCATCAGTCGCGCGCAGAGTTATCTTGCGCGCACTATACCATCGTAAGAATCTGAGTTGCCGCCGTATTCTTTTTTTTGAAGTTTATGGCCTGGTATCTAGACGTTTAGGCCAAGCCTTGAGTTTTTTTATTCGGTTTATTATAATTTCCCCAAATGTATAATTATCCTTCATAGTTCACTGCTTCACAATATGTTGATGCGTCACATTGTGCAGCCATTGGGAGATTATGACGGCAACTTGAGCCAGCAGACAGCTGACAGCTGGCGATGGTATCTAAAGGTGTCTATGCAGACAAACATCTTAACTTGAGAATCCGTCACCATCAGAGCACTTGTTTCACCGTTTCCACTAACAGTTCACATGCGTAGACAGTTAATACGTAAAATCGCACCACTTTTACATATCAAAATCCACTTGAAATTATTATTTAAACTATAATACAGGAGCAGCAAACTGCCGCCGGTCAAGTGCCCGCCAAAACTCCTCAGTTGCCGCCGTATCACAGTCTGGTTTGCCGTAATTAAAGAAAAAATTACTGAATTGCCGTATTTTTAATTATTTATTTTAATAATAATATCTATCTCTAATTTGTTTCTTCTCGGTAAATGTTTCTTATCGTTTCTAACAGCTGAACCTGAAGCTGGAACTTAATAGTTCCACTAATAATTCGGTCTCTCTAACCCAGCCTACGAATTTTGAATAGATATATAAAAAATACAGACAGACGTATTTTAAACAGCAAATCTCAAAAATATTAATTATTTAATTAAAATACACCCATATAGTTTACAAATAAAAAAATAGTAAATTTGCTCACTATATAACGTCGATATAACTTGAAATAATTAGGATTGCGTACTTTTTGTAATATGAAAAAAACTGCAGTTTGCTTGAAAATAATTTCACCATCATTAAAACGCATAAAATGCAATATTAAGTGCAAAAAGATGATAAAACTTAATTTGTTAATAATTGAAGATAAAGAGTATATAATTACTACGTTTAAGAGGCGGGACCTCCTTAAACCTTGTGTAAATGTATGCGCCAAGCTACTCTACCAACATCAAAACATGGCATGTAATTACCCTCCACCCCCTATGTAGCCTACAAATTTGGAGTGTATATAAAACAAATACTCTCAGACGTATTTTAAAAAGCACATCTCAAAAATATAAATGATTTAAAGTGCAACTATGTAATTTATAAATAAAAACTTGTGTGCAGGTCAGATGCGTTAGAAGAAACCTTCGGAAAACTAAACTTCGTGAGATGCCACAAATTCACACTATCAGGAATAGGTTAATTGTGGGGTTTATTTATAATAATATTGTTACCAAATTTAAAATTATTTTAAATTACTCAATAAACAGAATGTGAGTTTGCACTGACGAAATATTCACAAAAAAAAACCCACTCTTTTCTGACAATATGTCGAATCGCGTTTGCATAGTCAAAGAACATGTTGTAGTGAAATATGTTTGACACTTTATTATAAAAAATATATTTTAAAATATTTTACGCGAAACAAATGTTTGAAAACAAATTTGTAGTAATTAGAAATATTGTTATATTGAAAGATAGGTTTCACGTTAATTTTGTATATGTAGGCACTTAAAAGTAATGGATTTAGGTGATGAAGAAGTTTTTTTTGTTATTTTTTTACTTTTTTTTTAAATTTTAGTACTTTATATTTACAACAAAATGTTAGAAATAAACAGAGGTTCGGTATGCGCAACTTTAAAAAAAAATATAGAGATTCATGGTGCCTCCAGTGGTTTACTGATCGAGTCGCTCGTTCAGGACGTGCAAGGTTACAAAAAATTTCTCAGAATTTCACATTAAGATTTTGAAATATTATTATCGAAAGTTTCAGCAATCATAAAAAAAATTACACAAATTTCAGGCAGTCTATTCCAGCTAAAGATCAGAATAAATGGTTACTCTGCGGTACTTACACAGACTAACTAGTAGATTCTAACCGAATCAGACGGACATCTCACGAACTAAACTTACTCGACTTTGCTTCTGCGTTCCGATTGGTTGTAGCAAAATGATATTTGACATTTTTTTCTAATTTGAAGCAGCTATTCCAGGCAAAGGACAATACAAATACAAATGAAAAATGAGGTAAATACAAATGAAACAATGTTGAAATTCACAATTTTTTTATTAGTTATTAATATTTACTTTACAATAATTTTGTTTACATATTTAATAATTAACGTATATATTAAATATTCATTACTAAAAAATTATAATAATTTATTTATTATTATACTATCCTCATTTTAACTTTACAATAATTTTGTTTACAATATAAGATTCACCAGTTTTACCACTTTCATTACTCACTTCCTTTTCATGTCCTTTAAACAGGTTCATTATTTTTAATAATTTTGCACTAACATCATCTTCACAATAAAAAGATGAGCGGTTAAACTTAATGAATCCTGTAATTAATAAAGACATGATCCCTAAAATTGTATGATCATATTTGAAAAACTGCCACAATTTTTATGTCACTCATTCAATTCTTTACATTGGGTACTGTACATTCATGACCATTTTTTTTAATTTTTTTTTATAGGAGAGGGGGCAAACGAGCATGCGGCTCACCTGATGGTAAGTGACTACGGCCACCCATGAACAACTGCAACACCAGGGAGGGAATTGCAGATGCGTTGCCGGCCTTTTAAAAAGGAGTACGCTCTTTTCTTGAAGGTCCCTAAGTCGTATCGGTCCGGAAAAATCGCTGATGGTAATCGATTCCACAAGGAAGTCGTGCGAGGAAGAAAACATCTAAATCGCACAGTGGTGGACCGCCAATCATCCAGATAGTGTGGATGGTATCGGGAGTTCTGCCGCGATGTGCGTTCGTGAAATTTGGCGGCTGGGATTAATCCGAACAATTCCTCAGAGCACTCCCCATGGTAGATGCGAAAGAAAATGCAAAGGGATGCAACATATCTTCGCAGTGCCAATGAATCGAGCCGATCGGAAAGGGCTCGGTCGTCGACGATTCGAGCCGCTCTGCGCTGGATGCGGTCAAGTGGAAGGAGATGGCACTGGAGAGCCCCTGCCCAGAGATGGGAACAGTATTCCATGTAAGGCCGAACCTGCGCCTTGTAAAGTTGCAGGCGGTGTGCCGGCATGAAATACTGTCCCGCTCATCTGAGCACGCCAAGCTTTTTAGAGGCCAATTTGACCTTCTCTT